ATTTCCTGAGCGCTTCTAGAGCTCTGAGCCTTCGATTAAATTTAAATAAATTGATCAGTCAAAGCCGTGACAACTTCGTATCGACCCCTGGATTTTTCTCGGCTCCTTCTGAGCATTCCGGGGAAGAAATTTGAGTGTGGCTGGTTCTAGGGGTAGGCCTAGCCTGACTTGGTGAATACTAGTTTATTCCCCCCCTAGAATTTTGCGTCACATCTCTGGCGCCCGAACAGGGACTGAGCTTCCTCGGTCTCACGTCCTTGTACTGTCGTTTTGTAGTTTTTTGCGTCACATCTCTTGCGCCCGAACATTTGGACTCGAAAACACGGTTTTGGACTTTGAAATTTAAACGAAATTACGAGATAAACGAAATCTACGACGACTTCGACTACTACGACGACCATTACTCGACCCGAACGTTATCGATTAGCCACGTAACGATAGACACGGTGGAAATTCAAACGTTGACGACTACAACTACGACGAAATTCCCGAAATAATGCCTTCGACGATGGAGAGCTTACCGAGATCGCCGATAGACGACCCGCGCGTCGGTTGGATCCACACTTTGAGCAGACAATAATAGCTGAGATGACGAAGTATCAGCTGGGAACTGGGAGTAGCGTCGCCGAGCTTCGCAAACGCTTTTGCGAGTCTTTGAGAAACCCGTTGGGAAGCATCGGTCAGCCGATGAACCCGACGGTGACTTCGATATCGTGGACTACCGCTTATGCGGCCCATGATATCCGAATTTGACCGCAGTTGCTGGAACCTCCTGCCGCGTACCAGGAGACGGCCAGCGTGCGAGATATACTCGGGACTCCCACCGAACATTCTTCACCCGTTCGACGAACCCTCGAAGTGTTGGTAAAGCTGCCAGCCAACATCCCATCGCCCAGGCAAGATATTCCGTCGCGCATCACGTTTTTCGGTCCAACGACGGAACACGATCACCACGTAACGTTCGATAGACGCAATGATTTACCCGACGCCGTACGACCTCCGAGTGGAGCCGTTTGCTCCATTTCATAACGCAATTCACGGGAACCGTCAGCCGCGAACGCGCCCCCCAGAGATGACCGACCCTTCGTCGACGTGGTCATCTCAGGTGAGACGTTCAGCGCCCTCGTCGATACCGGCTCGTCAGTCAGTCTGATTGGAGATCGTACGTCACTTTCGGACGTGCGGCGTCGTACCTGACCAGACTGACGTCAACCAACGAATGGACAACGCAGCGTGTGTTTCGGATCGATACCGAGTAGACGACGATTGCTGGCCAACCTTATTCGCGGGATATCCACGTCCCGGGCCTAAGTGTGGAGGTGGTACTCGGCATTCGGTGTACTGCTGACCTCGCTCTAGTCAGAGTACACACCGTAGTACGAAACCTCCACAACGACGATGTCCCCCCGCCCTTTCCGGTCAACAACATCAAAAAATTAAAATTTTCAAAATTACACGGAAATCAAACACGAAATTTGCAGAATTTCTGGAACGCGAAATACCGCTGTTTGACAACGATTAGGGGTAGTCGGCGTTGACTGAGCAGACGCAGTGGCTCAGGGCAATTGCAACCCCTGTCAAACAGAGGTATCCCAGAAATCCTGTAACGCAATTTATCGTAAAGGACGCTTTCCCGAGGCAACCCGTGGCAAACGAGGGCCACACGGGCCTGGCCACGGTGAGTCACCACACATCGGAGGTGGCCGACGTGCCTCGTGAACGTTCCAACGTACTAATTCGCCGAGACCGGAAAGATGACGCATCGAGGCCAACCGCGACGAACGACGGCCAATCGGGCCTTGTCGTGGTGAGTCACCTCACATCGGAGGTGGCCGACGTGCCTCGTGGACGACGCCCGACACGACGTAGATTCTTCGAAACCGAAGAGCCGATCGAACAACGCAACGAACTCCGACGCACGCCCCGACGGAGCTGGTGATATCCCTCCCGTTGGTTGATATGATACGATACGAACGATTACGACTAAACGACGACTTCTACACGCACCTCTTCTTCGAGACCATTCCGACCCCATCCGAACCCCTACGTTTAAGATCTTTTTTTTCTTTTTTTTGCTGAAGTTGGTAAGGGGTGTAAGGTGCCAAATTTTAAGGGGGGTAAAAACGTACTACGAATAAATGAACACCAGAACTTACCCGATTTTAAACCACAATAGCCTACTCCGAGGCCTATGTGTTGGCCATAGCTTGGGCTATGGGCCAAAGAACGTAGGCCTATTTTTATTCACAGTGAAGTACACAAACACATCCACAACTACATATTTATTCATAATAGCACTTCGTTTCACATAATAAAGTTAAACCGGCCGATTTTACAGATATTTAACGCCGACGACGACATAACCCCAAACTGGTGTTTATTTGTTGATAGACGACAGACGAAACTAGACCAGCTCAACAAGTGAATTCGATCAGCTGTTATCTAGTAGTACTAAAGTTCGCCGCTTGAGCGCGTAAGCCTCAAGCGGGCAGGAACGAAGGATTTTACTCCAAGACAGGATTATTCGTTCGTACGCCGTCTTCGAAGTAACTTCGTCGTTACATTCGCCTGTTATCAACGCTTGCACGATCATCGATAATTTGTTTACCGAAGGTTAGCTATATTAGTTAATCACATTGCTACGATTTACGTTTAAATTTCCTTTTAACATTCGCATTCCCGTTTCCAAATTCGATATTTAATAACTTAAATTTCGCCGACTTGATTCTAGACCCGCCAGTTCCTGCTTGCCAGTGACTAGCGGTGATTATCGTTTGGTTTGGTTTAAACCAATTAGTTTCGAAATTACGATTCCTCCGTTCGCTTAACAAATAATTAACACGACTAAATTATATCTCGTTTTCACCGTTTTAATACCCCGAGACTTGTCGTCTAAGTTCTAAACCCCGTCTTTGGCGGGTGAAAGAATCAAGTCTTGGGAGCAGGCTGATTTAAACAATCAGCCACGAATATTAGAATTGAATTTATTTTAAATCATATCACGCCAAATTATCCGTTCAGTTATATTAATTAGGCCCCGACGACTCTGTAGAAATTGTTTTACCTTACATTCGATATTAGATCGATTACCAACGTCTTTAACTAATTATTTTGCAGTTTAATGCGAGTATTTATATCACATTGGTATAAGATTGGATACTCGTCGGCCCTACAGAGTCATTCTAAAAGTTAGGCAAAATTCTCCAAAACACTTTTACGAAGGCTGGGATGATATAACTCCAACTGAGCGTCTGCAGGATTTCCTGAGCGCTTCTAGAGCTCTGAGCCTTCGATTAAATTTAAATAAATTGATCAGTCAAAGCCGTGACAACTTCGTATCGACCCCTGGATTTTTCTCGGCTCCTTCTGAGCATTCCGGGGAAGAAATTTGAGTGTGGCTGGTTCTAGGGGTAGGCCTAGCCTGACTTGGTGAATACTAGTTTATTCCCCCCCTAGAATTTTGCGTCACACCTTTTAATGCTATTAAATATCATGGAAACAAATTGTGTAGTTGAAACAGCTGGTAAAATTATTTAATTCCTTTTAAATATGAATACTCATAAGGTTAACATGGGAAACTCTAGAGCCGCTGCGGCGGAGCCCGAAAGGATTTTTGAGGTAAGAATATGTCTATATGTTAATCGGGAATGTGAGCTATCATCATACCAAATTTCAACGCAATCCGACCATTAGTATATGCGTGATTGAACTTCAAACAAACAAATAAACAAACAAACACACAAACTAATAAACAAACACACAAACTAATAAACAAACAAACACACAAACTTTCACATTTATAATATTAGTATGATATGATTTCAAACATCAATCTTCATAGTAGGGATGAGCATCGATAGTTTTCGTAACATAGATGTTTTTCTATCAATTTTCAATGTTTTTACATCAATGGTAGGTTACCGACATTTTTGTAACATCAAGTTCTTGCCGTACATCAATATTTTGGCCCAAGCATTGAAAATTCAATGTTTTAGCGAATTTCCCATATAGGGAATAAGCTATTACCGTAGTACTCATGGTAAGACTTGGACCCGGGACCGATTTACTTTTTCGTTTTGAGGTCCCTAGAGGCCAAAAACACCATCCGTTCAAATTCATAAAACTGTTGTAGTTTGCTTGTTTATGAACATATTTTGATCGAATTTGGGAAATAGGCCTACTTTCATTTCATACTAAACTATTAACATTTTACAAAAATAAAACACTTTTACCCTCCCCGTTGTAGCAAACCTAAGTAGGCTACTCGTTAAACTAATTCTATTTAAATTGGAAATAAATGTGATATTTTTATGGAGGCATTTTAGTGTAAATCCAATCAGGTTTTAATGGAAATTCGCTTAGTCTGCAGGTTTGCTGCGGCGGGGGTATTTCATAAATGAATTGTATTAGTTTTGTTGAAAATTTAAATGTTTGTCTTAAGAAAAAAATTGAATTTTTGTATTTATTTAATTAAAAAACTGATGAAATATTGAATCCAAAACATCGCTGGACTACACTTAAACAAGTGTAGAGTGAGTGAGATAACTATCTACATTTTTGAAATGCTTGTTTTATTAACAGCTACCTAAAATCAATTTATTTATAATAAATTTCTGTGGCAGCACTCCTGCTCTTCAGTATAATAAATTAGTACCGATATTTTGTATTGGAAGTGTAAAAGAGAAACTGCCAATCTAGAACGTCTCTAGCAGCCTACTAAACAACGCAAGGGAGTGTGTTTAATTAATGCTAGTATAGTATGCTAATAGGTTAATTAGCTGAGACAGCACAGAGAACAAATGATAAACTGAAAAAAATCAATGTTAATCGATGTTTTAGCCTCGAAAACATTAATGTTTTTGCGACGATGTTGTCAGTACATCAATGGTCAACCTGATGATTTGCCCGAAAGTGAACAGTAGAATAGGCCTATAGCGATAGGCCTAAATCTTTATAACGGATAATCATTTCCACAGACAGTATTTAATTGAGTTACTTACCAGCTATGGACAAAGACTTAAGCTTGAATTCCGACCCATAGAAGACAATGAAACAGCGAAGACTCTCAATACGCTTAGCCTCCTCCGGCCATCTTTCAAAGTCTTTGTAGATCTTACCAGCCCGGATCTCGTGCACCTCCCTCATTTCAACTGTAACCAATGTAGAAACTTTGATAGATTCATAAAAAGCTCTAAAAGTTAACTTTAACAAACAGTACACTTTTTTTGTTCATATATTTTTATTTTATAAATAAAGACCTAAACACTGATTTCTATTTGATTATTCTTTCAAAACTAGTCGCCTAAGACTAAACTAGGATTGATGACTTAGGATATGTAAACCTTTAAGTTTTGTTATATTTAATAAATAAAGAAAATGTTAATTAAATACATCCTTCATGTAAAATAATGCATTATTTAGCACTAACGTGCCCTGCTTATTTAACAGCTGTGAGCATGTTAATAAATTAACCAGCAGGCAAAAAAAGTGGGAAAAGATAAAGTAAGGACGAGAGAGAGTCTACAGTAGCCTAATGAAGGACAAAGGTGAAGATATTATTATTATTATTATTTCCAATACAAAACATAATTTTTGAAATCATAACCTACAGTACACTTCTTAGTGAGAGTAAATCACATAATTTCACCAGCATGTGGGGTATCTTCGAAAAAATAGAGTGATAAATTATTATACCAAGAGAACAAAGGCAAAAGAAGTTGGTAGGTGTGATTTAAGTTTTTGAATCTAGGAAAACCTTAGGCCTGAGAATTACAACATATTATAAACAAAGGTTGCTAGACATGTCATCCTGTTCAACTTGACCTAATAGCTAAATTTGTACTAGGCCGATTTAAGTAGGTGATTTAAAAAAAATACTCTTATCTATTAGAGAAACATTTGTCCCAAAAGTTTACCTGCTCCTTCTATAGTTCTAGTGGCTGCAGTCCTTGCCCATACAATTTGTCTAGTTTCTCTTCTAATCATCAATGTCTTCTTCTCGGGTCTTTTTCTTGGATAAAACCTTGTCACTATTGTTCCTCTCTCTAGCTGGCTGATGATTTGTTCCATTTCTGGCATGAAACTCACCATCATTCCATTCATCATTGCCATCTTGATCAACAGTTTGCGTAGATGTTACTGTAATGAGATATTTATTTTACAAAACTGCAATTTACGTACAAGAATCTCTTCAAAGGGTAACTGTTGTCCCCATACTAAATAGTCCTACCCACAATTTATACTCTATAATTTTGTTTTAGTGGTATTGATCGTTGATCTAAAAAGAAATCTATTGTGCATTTAAATTAAAGGTTGGTGCCTTAGGTTGTTGCAGGTATAACTTAGCACTAAGTGTTATGTTAAAATCTACATAAATGAAACTCCAAATTAAGCTTTATTAATGAGTAAGATTTACAATGTTTGTCATATTGACAATGTCGCTAAGTTTAATTAGGCTACATTTGAAATAGTATTATAAGGGCTGTTTAGAAGGTCTTCTTTGTTCTTCTGCATGCTAAGTGAGCTGTTAGTTAAAATAAAGTATTTTACATTTTTCATGTTTATTTTTAAAGCTAGGACCCCCAGCTTTTTTAGGTCCAAGGGGAGATTTTTGTATATTTTGGGCCGAAGTAGGCCGATATGACACCTACAGTAGGCTAGGCTATCTTATTAAAATCTTTATCTTTATAAAAAGAAAAAAATATTATACTAAGGTTTGGAAAAGTATCTTACAACAAAGGATTAAAAGTTTGAAAATATTTTTACTAGTTTACCTAACCCGCCATGTTAAACTTCCCTATCCCAAGCGTGATGTATACAACTTCTTTACTTCTCGAGTGACGTAAAGTTGAAAAAAACTCACTCGGCGAGGTAATGAAACCCATTTAAATAACATTGAGTGCTTAACTTAAAAAATATACCTCTAAGGAGCGTTAACAACGTTCAACGCTAGAAATCAGCCGTGCGATTGAATGTTATTGTTATGCTTTAAAGTATTTTCATAACCTAGCTTTTGTTTGTAAATGAACGTTACTGTTAGAAGATGAGTGAAATGGATAATGAAAAATAATTTACGTAACCCTATGTATTTAGTCGGGTCAGGTAAAATCTTGTACGTTACACGTTACGCAAGAGCGTGTTTACATCACTTAGGTGAATTATGCAACTCGCTTCCACTCGTTGCACAACATTCACCTGTGTGATGTAAAAACGCTCTTACTACACTTGTAATGTAAATAGCTATTATTACTATATTTGATCAATATACATCAACGCAACATTGTGCTCATTTTAAGTTGAAGAATAATGATGGATGAGTCTTGTTTGGAATGGGTTGGAACTAAAGCTGAGTTGCTGAGATTATCTAGTTCTCTTAGCCAGAACCAATTATTAAAGTCATCATCGACAAGCAACTGACTTTGGTCAGGATCGAACTGGCAATCTAATGAGTAGCTCAATCTACATTCACAGCTACCTCGAAGCTGTTAGAGGCTGTAAATAACTTTTATATTAACACGTTGTTATGCCCGTTCTTCACACTTGAGCAATAATAGTCATGAGAATAATGTGGGTCTCTAAATCTACTCTAAAAAACAGTTAGCCTACACACTTACTGTTGATTATATACAGGCATATCTTGATCGTACTTATTGCTTATTTTAATTAAAATATATTAGGTAGGTATTTAAATTTTAACTGTGGGGCAGAATCAAAACTAATAACTTTATCAAAGGCTAATGAAGGCTATACAAATAATCAAACGATTTTTTAACTCATTGAAAAGTAAACAAACTTTAGAAAGGTAACATATCTAACAGCTGATGCATCTTCAATATTTTAAAAGTGATAAGTAATAACTTAAGAGCCCTTTAAGCTTAACTAAATAAATGTGAAAGTTTGTTTGTATTAAATCATTAAAAATATATAGGATTTAAAATCTATATCTATAAAAGAGGAACTATGTATGTGTGTGTGTGTGTATGTATACGATATGGACTCCGAAACCGCTCGACAGATTGTAATGAAACTTTCAGGCATTATTAAGCATCTTTCAAGGATGGTTCGAGTGAAGTTTGGTGCAGATCTGTCAAAAGGGCTCTGCCCCAGAGGGTTTTAAGTGGGCCAATGTCAGACTTTTTGATCTACAATGTTTACAAATAAATATAATTTAAAAGCAGATGTTTACTTTTACCAACTGTTTTGTAGGTTCGAATAATTACAACATTCTGTATTAGCATTAGTCATGATTTGAAATAGTGCCACAGTGTTTCTACAGAGTGCAGCACAGAAAACTATTTTACTTTTGAATAAGTCCAAATGTATTAAACCCCAATCGCAGCACACCTGTGCACTTAACAACGTTTAAATTCTCCAATGTTAAATATTAAAACATAAAGAACTTTATCAAAGTATTATAAACAATAAATGGGATGACTTTTTAAAATTTATGACAACAGCTAATTTGCAATCAAAAGGTGAGTGAGCGTAGCGAACGAACATCAACCTGGAGGCGAGTTAGCGTAGCGAACGAGCTAACCTGAAAACAAGTGAGTGCAGCGAACGAGCTCCAACCTAAAGGTGAGTGAGCGTAGCGAACGAACTTCAACCGGGACGTGATTGAGCCATGCGAATACTTATGAAGTTAAACGGGGCAAAGACCGTGGGTACAGCTAGTATAATATAGTTGTTAGTGGATGTGGTTGCACTTTAGTTTACGTCCTACATTTTACTATTATACATTATACAATAACTACCAGAACAGCTGATTATAAAATGAAACTGCTCTAAACTTAACAATACCCCCGCCGCAGCAAACCTGCAGACTAAGCGAATTTCCACTAGCCTGATAGGATTTCACATTAAAATGCCTCCTTAAAAATATTATATTTATTCCCTATTTAAATAGAATTAGTTTAACGAGTACTAAGGTTTGCTGCAACAGGGAGGGTAAAAATGTGTTTTTTTATAGTAGTTTAGTAAGAAATGAATGTATTTTCCAAATTTGATCAAAATATGTTCATAAACAAGTAAATCAAATCAAAATATCTTTATTCGTACAAGACAAGTACATGTTAGTACATCTGAATAGTGTCAACTTAGCTATTTAAATTAACATTTGCTTAATTATTCATACTAGTGAACCTGTGCGGCTCAATGCCCCGCAAAATAACATAGGAATTTAGAAAACAAACTCATCGTGTTATATATTGAGTCGACTTCGAAAATTAAATACAGTAATAATAAAGCCTTAGAAGCGAAGCAGTCCAGCCATTTTCTGGCTGTATGTGTATTATATTTAGTAAATTAATAAGTGTTCAAGTTCAAGTATGTTATAGGCAGCGAGCAAGGTTATAGGGTAAACTTAGTTATTTTTTAAAGATTTTAAAAATACATTAACAAAACATTTTATTATATCCAACCAATAGGCCTGTGTAGCCTATTTTGAGGGTCATAAAAATGCTTGAAGAAAACACGCTTTTAAAAATAAACTTTAAAAAACAACATTTTTTTCACAAAAGCACTTCCATGAATACTACGATTTTAGTCTTAAAGTTACCTTCAGGAAGATTACCCTGGTCAGAGTTACTGTAACGAATATGCGTATCCTATTAAAAGATGTAGCCTTACTTAAAACAACATATAAGTTAATATAGTTGCTCATGACTGAAATTGGTCTGGGTAGAACCATGCTGCTCTTTAATTATACAGTGCTTGTGCTGCAAATGCCAAAGATAAGAGAAATTAGCATCTTTCCATTTTAAAAGGTAAGTTTTTTTTAGATGGGCACATTTTTATCCTCAAAATCCAAATATGTCCCCACTCACTTGTTCCAGTTAAGACTTCACATTCTATTATGCTGTTAATTGTTCTGATCACATGAAGCCTTGTACCATTTATGAGGTCCTTTTTGATGTATTAATATTCCTCATCAATAAAACCACTGCCCCCTTTTATTATTATTCTAATCTGTGTCTTGGCAATCCACTGACCTCTATATTAAAAAAAACTCAGTTGGATTTTCTAGAGGGGTGTCTCCGCCTTCGTCTGTTTTCGAGGACCCACTCTTCTTCCCCTTGGCATACTGACAATTAACTTGTCAAGTTCATGTAGTAATTCATTAATACTGTTGGTTTATAAAGAAAATTAGATAAAAGTTACTTGGCTTGGTGCTTTCATAACTGCAAACTCAAAATACACCCACAAGTAAAAAAGAATCAAGTTATTGGTTAAAAAAAAAACTATTTTTGTGTAATATCACTATTCATATGAAGTAGATGATTTGTTTAATTTGTCAATCAGCTGTTTAGTTTTAAATGAATTGATAATGTCAAAGATTTGTGATTTTTAATACATAAATTATAATAGTAAAGTTTTCTAAATCATGGTATCTCAACTAAATTTTACTATTCCCAGCATTAAAATAAGGTAGTAAGGTCCATTATGGGTAAACTTTAAGGTACACAATCCTTGATTGAAATGTAGTATACATTAAGAGTCATAATACAAAGCAATTATTATGTAGTAGACTTTGACTATTTTCAAGTAACAAACATATGTTTCTGTAAATAAAAATTATCTCCCATGTTATCCTTATGGAGAAATACGAAACTTTAAAGGGCCCTAGGGCCTCACTCTCTAATTATTTCCCTAAAAAGAAAGTTTCCTGCACAACTTCACGTTAAGCTCTTTACAATGACACCAAAAACATGTCAATCGGTTCAGTAGTTTCGGAGGAGTAATTGTCACAAAAAACCTGCTTGCGTATTAAATAAGTACGAGAGCACGCCCCGTGGTCGAAAAATCGACCAAAAGTATGTTTTGTGCAAACTTCTCTATATTTTCACCCCACACTGTAAATAAAACATGTGATTGGAATGTCTTCCATTTGTTTTGATTTTCTGTTTATATTTTGTTGTTATTTCGTCATCACCATAGCAACCCATAAGACCAATGTTAATTTTTTAAAATTTCAAATTAATTTTTTTGTACTTATTTTTGAGCCTATTTTAATTTATAAAGGGATTCTGCACACCTACAGGAAAATAGCTTTCTAACGGTATGCGTAGATTTTCCCTACGATACACACGAGCTGAGAAAAAAGGTTTTAAAGAAACATGCTTGCCTATTAATATATAGAC